GCTATGTTGTCTGCAATCCGGTGATTAAGAAATGGTTACTACTGCCGGGTAGCAACTATTCTTGTGGTTCAGCTCGCTTGGGGTTTGATCCGACAATCTTCTCGCACTTCCATGTGTTTGAATATGGGATCAACAATGATGACTCCTTAGGTGTCAACATCTACTCATCTAAAATTAGAGCATGGATATTTAAAGAATCTGAATGGGGCGGGGGTATTCTAGTATCCACATATGGGAAATGTGTGTTTGTTAATGGTTTTTTGTATATGCTAGAGTTCACCCGGATAGTTGCTGTTGATATGGAGGGAAAGACATAGAGAATTCATAGGCCAACTGGTGATGCAATCTCCATTCATGAAGCTTAGGGATAGTTGTGTTTATGTACTGCTGATACTTTGAATATTTGTGAGCTTTCAATCTTGATCCTTGAAGACTATGGTACTAGTAAATGGACATTGAAGCATAAGGTGACTACGATGGAGCTATTTAGAAGAAGAATATTGAAATTGGTACCGAGGTTTGTGATGCGACCTACATAGTGATTGTAGTTCATCCAGAATGGAATTTGATTTTCCTTGTTAGGGAGGATAAATCACTGCTTGAATATGACATGAACCGCAGTAAAGTTCATGTCCTCCCTGTCCGGGCCATCGGCTATCTAGAAGTACATGAAAACTATTATGTATGAGCGGCGGACCTCACTATCTTCCTTATGTTCCCTTGTTCATGAAGTCATTAGCAGAGCAGTAAAGATGCATATGCTGTATTTTGTTGTAATTATGTCATGCCTTTGTTCAGGTAGGTAGTTATTTTGATTCTATATATAGGCCAATTTGGGCTTCGTAACTAAAGGAATGATGTGCTGAATATTATTAATTGTGTTGCTTTGTGCAGGTGGAGTCTGAGTGCTTTTGAATAATTTTTCTGCATTGGTTAGGAGGAAGAAGATGGGTTCTATGGTGCATTGCCTACCAATTTAAAGGATGCACTAATTATATTCATTTTTGTCTAGCAAGCAGGAGTACCACATAGGAGGAGTACACCTACGTCGTTTCGTTATGTAAGCCTGTAGAGATCAGTACCTTTAATTTGCAATCTATGTACCGCTTGTGTTAGGACATGAGTTGAGAAAAATATTATGGTAAACGTCCATTGTTATTTTAAGAACATGGTTTATGGATGCAATGATTATATTTGTATGCTTTGTGTTCAGTAAGTTATTAAGGGACGTTTATTTTTTTGTTATCACCACCACCGTTGGTGGTGCAAACGTCCAACACCGTCGCTATACGTATTATGCAGCAGGAATAAAAGTGTATCACCGCCGAATCATTTAGTAACCCGACACCGACTAAACGATCATCAAAGGCAAATCATGGTGCAAGACGATGATGACCATGACCTTTGTACTGGCGGATCATACGGTGAAGTGACGGTGGTATTACCTCTACACAGGTGCCTCGCCCGTCGAACCGACAGTGAACCCGCACCGCTGACAGTCAGGTTGAAGTACAAGACGACGGTGCTGGTGACCACTACACAGGCGATTGATGTGCCCACACGACGATTTTGATAGTCTCAACACAGTCGGACCATTTGTCAATGCGACGGTGTTACTGTACATCCATAGCTGGGTCGTGCCCTAATGCGACTAAAGTAATGACCTAATCACGAACGGATCATAAGCCAATTGGCGGTGTTATTGTACACCACAGTCGGTTCCAGATGCCGACGGTGAAGGCTATGACCATCACTGTCGACAACTTACTGCTAAGATCGAAATTGGACTGCGATGTGAGTTATGACGCTGCTGTGAAAGATGCGAGTGTAGTAGTAGACGCCACCGGGACGACCTTGACAAGCAGGCGGTCGTCCAAGCGTTCCTGGCTCATCTCCATGGCGGACTCCACCTTGCGTCGCGCCAGCGACGGTGGGAAGCTGGGAACCGTTGATGTAGCGGAACCGTTGATGTCGGAGAAGCCGTCTGAGCCTATCTCTGAGCCAAGGCTCTTGGTGTAGATCTCCAAGGTCATCTATGTCATCAGGCTGGACGAGCGGCACATGAGCGGGTGCACGTACTGTGCCTGTGCCTGCCTGGGCGCGGCATGCGGTTTCTGCGCCTGGATCATGTTCCATATGTCGTCCCTCTCCGGCCGGTCGCCATCACAAGGGCCCTGCTCGACGGCCTGCTGGCACGGAGGAGCTGCTGCTTGGTGGTCTCGAACAATGTCAGTGCCATGTCTCCCTGCTTGTCCTTTGTAGGTGACACTAGCCTATAGCAAAACTATCTGTCGCAGCAAGTGCTGTAGGTTAGCAAAAAAAGCGGCACGACGATGAGTGACGACGTTGGCTTCTACTTCTCCGTTCCAAATTATAAGTCGCTTTGACTTTTTTGTATATCTATTTTTTTTATCATTTAGATATAATAATATGTCTAGATATATTGCCAAATGGATGAAACAAAAAAATCAAAGCGACTTATAATTTAGAACGGATGGGGTACGTTGTAGTACTTGGTGCAGCTACAGGTACCCGAGTGCGCGTTTGTTTATATTTCGCGTGGCTTGCTTGTTAATCTTGTGCATACAAGCATAGGAGGAGGCAGAGCAAAACTGAAGGAGGCAGAGCAAAACTGAAGGAGGCAGAGCACGCGCCCGCGTCATATCACCGGAACAAGAGGTTGCGGGTTGCGGCGGGAGTGGAGGGATAAGCTTTGGCGTCGATGGTCGGGCGACGACGATGGGTCCGGGATCAGTAGCGCGCTCGGCGGGGCGCTGTTCGTCGCTAGCGTCGTCGCGCTCGTCTCACTCCAAGGCGGAGGCGTCTGGCACGACCACATCGAGGGTTAGAGCTATGCTGCATTGCCTCGCGGACGCGCTCTGCATGCCTCTGTACCTCCCGCGTGCCTCACCATCCCAGACATCGCCAGACACGGTCCCGGCCCTACGGCGTCGCTTCTTCTGCGCTGGTGCCGGTCCTTCTCGCCTTCACTTGGACCTCGCAGCGCCATAGCCCGATGTCCCCCTCCCATATTAGGCACAACCTCGTGGTTCTCGTAGGCGGCGTACTCCTGGCCTCCTACTCGCGGTGCTCGCCATGGCCACCACGGACGCGAACTCCCCTCCGCGCGGCCGGTGTCGAACGTGGCGATGGCGGTGCACGACACGTCCGGCTGTTCAACACAGTGGTGGGGCTGAATCTGTCGCTGTTGCTGGCGGCAGGCGTCCAGCACCCAGCCCCGTTCGTGGTACCCGCGGATGCGGCGAAGTATGAGGTGTGCGCGGTCAGTCCGGTCCACGACAGCCACGTGTGCAAAACTAGGGTTCCAAAACCGTTTTGGACCTGTGGTGATACATTTAGCAAGTTTAGGGACCCAAAAATCTGGTTTTAAGAATACACCTATTTGAGAATGCAGGATAACATCTCCAGTGGACTATCTATCACCAATTTAGATAGCGGGGGCAAGAAAATTAACTTCAGCACCAACAAATTTATTGGCTACATAAATCTCCATTCCCACTGCCCATTCCTGTTGGGCCAGGAGGGACTACCCAAATTTCTGGTGGGCGGTTCTCGTACACGCGCGCTCGAGTCTCTCTCGGTTCCGCCCGATCTTCGTCACCTCCGGCCCCCCTCCGCCGCGGCTCCCTATCGCTAGCAGAGGTCCCCAGCGCGGCGGGCCTCTCCAGCGAGCACGACGTACCTCCCCGGCGAGCGCGATGTGCCTCCCCGGTCCCATATCTCGCCGCCCAGTCGTCCGCCCGAGCCCCAGATCCCCGCGGCGGCGCCATCCCCGAAGCCGACGCCTCTGCGGCGGGCCTCGCACGGGCGTGGGCGGTGCCGCCCTGCCGACATTTCCCTTGCTTCGCACGGGTGCGGGCGGGCCTCGCACGGCTCCCATGAGGACGCGGCGGCCTTCTCCGGCAAGGACGCGACAACCTTCTCCGGCGAGGACGCGGTGGATCTCGCCACCGCGACTCCCAGCGCAGGCTCCTCCGCCATGGCTCCTAGCGGGGGCGGATCTCGACGCCTCGACCGGAGTCGAGCGCGTCTCCCAGCGCGGGCGGATTCTCCTCCGCCGCGTCTTCCCAGTAGCAGCGGCGCTATTCCTGGCCGCCTGGCAGCGCTTCTTCCTAGCGGCGGCGGCTCCAGCAATGACCCATGGCCGAGTTCCTCTGTAGCGAGCCAGAGAAGATGACATGCATAGTCTGCTAAGATGGATTTGGGGAGCCTGGTTTAGGCAGTATTGCTGGAAACGAGAGCAAAATATGGGAAGTGGCTAAGTAGACAGTCTGATTTAGGTTAGGTCGCTGGAGATGCTCTAAGGGTGTGTTTAGTTGGGCGAATTTGGAAATTTAGGCTACCGTAGCACTTTTCGTTTTTATTTGGCAATTAGTGTTCAATTATGGACTAATTAGGTTCAAAACGTTCGTCTCGTAATTTCCAACCAAATTGTGCAATTAGTTTTTTTTCATCTATATTTAATGCTCCATGCACGTATCGCAAGATTCGATGTGACGAGTACTGTAGCACTTTTTTGGAATTTGGGGTCCCAACTAAACACGCGCTAAGTTCAAGGACCGAGTAGATTTTGGACAATGTCCGACATGAGTAACAGCCTATTCGGGAGACCATAAATGATCATGGATTATTTACGACTGGCTGGTTTGGTGTAAGAAAAGAGTACTGTTCTGGTGGAAATTTACTATCGTAGGCTCCGTCGGGCCGTTGCAGCAAGCCGTATCCGAACTGTCCACAGCCCACTCGGCGCCCACATCATCTTGAGTCGCCTCTAGCTCGATCTGCGGCCTGCTGCTCTCGTCTCTCGGTCTCTCCTTCTGGAGTCGACCCCAATCCCCCATTCACAAACCTTTGGGAAGCCGGTAGGCAGGCACCGGCGGCCGACAAGCGCAACGATAGACGCTCCCACAAAATTCCCGCTTCCTGTCTTACCCCTCCAAAACCCTAGTCCGTCCTCGCCTCCTCGGCCGGCGACGAGGATGCCTGGTATGCCGACGGACGGTGGCGGCGCTATCGTACCTTTTACAGGGGAGCCTGGCCAAGGGGCGCCACCGGTGCGGCCAATCCGCCACGGCGTGGCGCCGCCCATCTTCCGCACCTACGTCTCCTGGTCCAGCGGCAACCTTCTGCAGGTCGCGTGCCTCCGCCCGCCGAATTCGGAAGGTGGCGGCGGCACGGTGGAGGTCGTTGGGAGTGTGGTGGAGGTGAATCTCGGAGACGGTGGCAGCGGTGGCTCGGAGGCCGAGGAGAAAATTGACGAGGCGGAGATGCGGCGGATCGAGTACGGGTCGGTGCCGGCCTTCGCGCTGCTGCAGAGCAGGAAGAACTCCCTCGCAGATGCTGCTACTATGTCGCACGTGCCCTCAGTCCCCGATCATGAAGAATGGTGAACTTTATTTCGAGGCTTTATATATACACTATTACGTGCTTAGATTAGTGATTAATTTGGTTACTGCCTGTACTTAGTAATTATCTCCTTGTATGGTTCAATGTAACAAGCTATCGGCTTAACGCCACAGGATCCTTAAAGCAGAAATTTGCTAAGCAACCAAAATGTGATGTGATGTGATACAGCTGTAGTGTTTCTGTCAGCTGTCTGATCCATAACATTGTAGATTGCAGAAGCTTAAGTTGTTACTTTATTACATTCACACTGATGCACGTGTTTGCACCAGTAAAAATATGGTCAAAACTCCTTATAGCAAAGATATGAGTTGTTCATTTTGCTGAATAGTATTATGTTACACTGTAAGTTGTGCTGCCGTTTAATCTTAGTGGTGTTTCATTAGGTGGCAATATGTGCTTGAGTACAGCAAAACCATTGGCAATCTCCTTGGGAACCCAGACCCTCCTGTTTTCATGATTGAAGACCCCATGACAATTCTTAAGGTGTCTATATCTATGTGTTATGCTGTTTTATATTCTATTACTGGTGATCTGGATCAATTCTTACATGATTTAGTTAAACTTCAAATGTTTTCTCTCCCCTGTTAAAAAAATACACTTTAAAGTTTAGGGAGAAACCGACAAGTTTAAGGGCTGCTTGGGAGTTGTTGGAGATATTCTATGTTGATAAACATTTGCAAGGCTGGCTTCCTGAGCGTCTTGTTGATTGGTTAGCCGTAATACTCTTTCTTTTAACCATTTTCTCGTTCCATTTGCTTACACTTAGCTGGTGCATTTTCCATGGATGTCTCTCTCATTCTACTTCCTGTGGTTTTAGGATTTTGACAGCCTGTTGTCAACGATGGTGAGCACGGTGTACTCTAAGCTCAGCAATTTCCAGAAAAAACTCATTAACTTGCAGGTTGGTTTCAATATGACTAGCATCTTCCAATCATGTGATCTGCTGTTTTGCTTATACAGACTCCCAGTATCCTGTATTCATGTGGCTATCCCAGCATGCGATTGATATTCTGTTTTACTATCTACTACTATTCATATGCATTACTTCCAATCCTTGATGTCCTTCTGTTGATGGGGTTAAAGTTAAACGCATCATGAGAGATCATTTTGTAGATTGTTGAAGATGATCCTGATTACTGGAATGGTTTGTCAGCAGCACTTTCAGTTGGATGGCTTGATATTGTTGTATGTCTGTTTTCTTCATTTTTCTGACAAGTTGGTGCTTTTGTTAGATGCTTCCTGTCTGAAGTTTTTCTTCATGTAGGTGAATATGCTACGGTTTCATGGATCGTACCAATTAGATCAGATGGATAACCGTGAGGTATTTCAGTTATTTTTGCTGGTTTCTTTGAGCTTATTTTTATTTCTTCTTTTATTAGCTTAGCATTTATCTTGCAAATAAAAATATCATTAGATCTCTTAGGGTTCTATATATTTTATTATTTTTGGTGTTTGTAGAATTTTTTGTCTTTACTAACTACTCTGCATCTAAATTGCAAGACTGTATCCAAATGTACAATAATAGAAATGTATGAATTATGCTTTGTTTTGCTCCATGTCATTTTACCGTGGAGTCTGAAGTCTGAACTGTTAAATGGTTCGCCTGCTGCAACAAATACAATTAATTTAAGTGCTGGTTGTGTAGTGAATAATTTCTTATAAATCAAGCCAATTTGGGTTGAGTGTGAACAGTAGCATATAAGACTCTGACGTGGATCTTGTTTTTGTATGACTGTTGTGAAGATGAAAGTGGAAATACGGAATGGCGGAATGGATCTGTTTGAACTTAAATTTATGTGGGAACTCATAATATAAGGACTCATATTGGATATCTTTGACTTGTTCATTTTAGATTTGATTGTTTCTTTCCTTTTATGCTTGAATTATTTTGCAAGTAAGATTCCATGAAAATGTAACTGTGCTACGGTGTAATGTACTTTAGCTTAATGCTAGTACTTTAGTTCTTTCACTTATATGCATTTTCTTCAGGAGTTTATTTGAGGCTGGAAGGGCGGGCCTGGTGCAAGCGGTAGAGTCTTACCGCCTGTGACCGGAAGGTCCCGGGTTCGAGTCGCGGTCTCCTCGCATTGCATAGGCGAGGGTAAGGCTTGCCACTGACACCCTTCCCCAGACCCCGCACAGAGCGGGAGCTCTCTGCACTGGGTACGCCCTTTTTTTTAGTTTATTTGAGGCTGTAGTAATACATGTATTCCTTCTAGCTTTGGCCATGTGCCACCATGTTATGTTGTCAGTCGATTTTATGTATACCTGGTTTCCTAAAATAATTACTTTTCTTCCTTTGGTTACCAGACAGAAAATGGATTGGTCGAGGCTGTTGCTGTTCTTGTATCAACGATGCCCCGCTTGAGACCAAATTTGCCAACTGGTAAATTAGGCCAGTGCTGCAAAACAAGACCTGATTTTATCAAGGTTTGTCTTATAAAATGGTGCCATCTTCCTCTTGAAGCAAGTATCATCTTCTGTCCCCTTGAATTCCCTTGAATTAGGGATATTGTATGATTGTACTGGTTCAACGCTGTCAAAAAAAAACTTGACCACCTGTGAGCAACCGGGTTTGAGCCTGGGTGGCTAGCCTCTAAAATGGAGGCTCTACCAACTGAGCTATCACTTGGTTTTCAATTCTGTGCCATTAACAAAAACATTATTATTTCATATCAATGAAGAATTCCTACTAAAGTTGATTGGCTCATTTTTATTATTCTTGCTCTGTTATTAGTTTTGCACTGCATGCTGGAACCTAGATGCTTCGCAGCTATGACTTTGTATAATCACCATAATGACTGTTGGCAGTGGGCACTATTGCAGATTGAAGTTCTCAGTGCACACCATATGATTCTACCATCTGATTGTTCATTGTTGCGAATGATATGGCTGCTTTGCTGCACAATCTCTATCTACTTTTTGAGATTATTTTACCAAAATGAAAAAGAAAACGTGAAAGGCACAATTTTGTTTGTATAAAAGTATATAATATTGATTCTAATTTCTAAATGGTCCAAATATGTGTGGCATCCTTCAGGTGCCTTTTTTGTGCATATTTTGAAATTGAAAGTCCTCTTTGTGAACGTTTGTAAGCCTTATGATCAAGTCAGTGGAAAGCTTTTGCTAAGGTATCTATATTTTCAGGCATGGGAAAAGTGGCGAGGTCAAGTAACTAAACTGGAGTGCAGTGCATTTTGGATCCAGTGCGGCCACCAAAAAACCCGTGATGGTTTGAAGAATTTGCTTCATATTATGATGGGGAACGTAAACAAACTCACTGACGCTACTTCCCATTGGCTGGAGCTGTTTGCTTCTCATTTTCTTTACATAAAACCATTTACAGTGGTTAGTTCTCTTGGTCTTGTACTATGATCTATAGTGCTTTGTGGTTCCTCTGCTTGATTAAGTTGTTAATAGCTGATGCTTGCATCACTTAATGACCATTTCTCATCTCAAGTATAAATGTATCATGGGCCTTTTCTCCTTACTACTGAAAAGGTTTCAAATGGTTCTCCCTGAAAGAAAAATCCATGTCAAGATTACTATTATTAAAACACCTGCTTGCTCGTGAGATCATTTATTTGAAATCCTGGACCCACCATATGAGCCCAGATACTGTTTTTTTAACCATCTTCTCTTCTCTAAATCAATGTCCATACAACCTGCTATTAATTTTAAACTGCATTGCACAGTGATATGTATAATGACAACAGATGTTTTCTTGGGGGTTTGGATTCTCTTAGCCCTCCAATTTCTTCCTTTTCTCACGCAAACAATTAATTTTCAGTATATAGTTTCTTTTTTTTTCCTATTTGTTTTTGTTGGAAAGAGTTCCCTCTGCTCTTATACAAAGCAAGTGTTTCCAATTTAGGTGCTGGTCATACCAGTTTACCATCCAAAAGTAAATGTAATGCCAAGGCAGCTATCCTGTTAGGTAGTTGGTTGGACTGTAGTTGTTCATCCAGTTCATTGTCCTCTTCTTGACCACCTTCAGCTTGTCGTGGTCGTGTTGCTTGAGCTGCAAACTCCACTTCAGCAGAAATGAAAGCCCAATAAAACACTTCAAAAGGGTTGTTAGGAAACACTTTCAGTATATAGTTCGATAGTTCATACCCTTGTTTAAGTTTTTCTGAAGGAAGTATGCATTTGAAAAATTGACATCTTACATCATAATAAAACATACATCTTGTCAGGGTTTTGAAGGGATGCACCATTTAGCACAGAAATGCATACAGCTTAAGCCATCCTCTGGCACTAATGGATTAACAGGCCTCATTCTTGGTGTCCTTTCAGAAAATACAGAGGTTAGAACATGAAGTCATCCTCTATCTATGTCCTTGGACTTCTTATACATTCTTATTTCTTGTTTGTATAACATCTTTTCCATGATTAGGTTGTCTTGGCAGAATGCACAAAAAATTTTGGCCCTTGGTAAGATGGACAATTTGCTAATTTCTATTCATTGAAACACTGTCCTAACTGATTTGGGTATTTGTACCTGCAGGCTGGTCACACATGCTATGGAACTTCTGACAGCTGATAATGACTATGCGGATGTTATGTTGCATGAAGAGCGACCTAACTTAGGTGGTATAAGCATAGAGGAACTGCACCGGCTAGTCTATGCTCAAGTTTTATGTTCTCATTCTTTAACTTGGCAGGTTAGTTATGTAACATAGTAACCCTAGTCCAGCACCAACTAATTAGTTTAGTTCTATGTATTTTTATTAGGCATTAGCCATGCACTCCTTGAACTAGCAACTGCACGAATTGCATGCATGCATTATTTAACTGGGATTATTTCCAGTGGCGGAGCTGGTGAATTTCCAAGCCTAGGGCCAGTAGTTAAGGGCGTACCCAGTGCAGAGAGCTCCCGTGCTGTGCGGGGTCTGGGGAAGGGTGTTAGTGGCGAGCCTTACCCTCGCCTGTGCAATGCGAGGAGACCGCGACTCGAACCCGGGACCTTCTGGTCACAGGCGGTAAGACTCTACCGCTTGCACCAAGCCCGCCCTTCAAGGCCAGTAGTTAAGCACTTACAAATTTGAAACCTGATCTGCATATCAATTTGTTCACAAAGGCGAACAATAAAATACATAATTTAGTGGATGTATCTTGGTTCCACATATAATTGTACAACAAACTGATTCTAGTTGCACGGCATTTCCATTATTAGTTCTCATTGCACAATTGTACTTATTCAGAAACAAAAGATTGGCTTGGTTGTATAATAGGCGTAGGAGTCTAGGACCAAGAGGAAAAAAAAGGATTTCAATGTATTTGTAAGTTTCCATTGTGTAAGTTTACGGAATGCAAAAGAAAAGCAAAGTAAAACAACCTGACTGCTAGTTGCTACATCCTACAAAAACACAAATATTGAGCAATGGAACCATGGAAAATTGGAGCGGGAGATTGGGTTATTTCATATTTGGTTGGACGCTTGGATCAATCGAATTAGAGAACAACCTGTTGTAATGTATTCCTTGTGCGGTGTACCCCTATTACTCTGCAGTCTTGCAGACGGGAAGGGGCCACACAGCACAAAGGCATGCTAGTTGCCGGCTTGCTGGCTAGGTGGCCGCCCAACGTGGCTCTGACCATGGAGCGCGGAGCTGTGGACAGCCCCTAGCAGCTAGCGCAGAGGACCTGGTGGCGACAGGCTGCCGCAACCACTCTTGCCGAGTTGCCCGGCGGTGACACGATGGACGGCGTGGCTGCAGATGGCAGTGGCTAGGGTTAAGCAGCACTGCAGCAGCCAGCTGGACAGGGAGAGGAACGGCCGAACAGGGATGGGAGTCAAGTCGCTAAGTCGGATTGCGGCGCTGGTGCACGCTGCTGCACGCTGACTTCTGGAGTCAGGGTCAGGTGTCGAGGAGCTCCTGCTTTCTCCTGTGTCTGGACCTGCTGGGAGTAAGAATTTGGGCCAACAGCCCAGCCGCCCAGGGTTACTTCAGATTGGGCCAAAAATTCACATGTAGTATAAGAAGTATTTGGGCCAAGCCTAGGGCTGTGGTCCTAGTTGTCCTAGGCCCATATCTGCCCCTGATTATTTCCTTTTTATCTCTCATTTCAGTTCTTGATGCCTTTTGGTCTGTTTATTTTCCCTTGAGATCTCTTTTCCCTTTTACCTCTCGGCTGGCTTACTGAAGCATGGATCCATCTAATGGTAAATGCCGAGTGTTGAATAGGAACTATTTTATATGTTTTACTGAATATTTATATGTGCATATGCCTTTGATTTGCTATATTAATCTGTTTTATTTTTAGTATGAGAAACTTTTGAATTTCTGTTGTCGTTTGTTTGTGATAGTAAAAATGTCTCCTTTTGACAACATTTATCTTGGCTATCTTGCATGTTTGGTTCTCAGATTGCGCCTACTTATCTGTCCTCATGTCTAAACCAAGGCCTAGGACTCTTGGAGATTCTACTTCTCAAGCAACCCATACAAGATAATTGCCTAGTACTCAAGGTACCATGCATTTTAATTCTACACCAACTTTCAGCGTCTCAGACCCACTTTTATTGTCTAATCCTCAATTCTGTGGGCAGACTTTGGAAATTTGCCGATTGTACGAACTGGAGAATGTTAGTACAATCATCATGAAGGTAAACATGGATTCATCTTGTGTTTTGCATGTTGCTTATTCAAACTTCCACATGTAGCTTTCATTTTCCATTGTTCTCAACCGAACTCAACGTTAGCTTAAACTAAGGATTCATATCTAATAACTGTTTGTTTGTCTTTTAGATTGCTGGCATTTATCATTGGAAGCATGGACGAAAAGGAACTGGTGTATACTGGTTCCAGCAAGCTCATGATAAAGTTTGTCTTGACAGAATTGCTCAACAGTTGTTCGAACACATTGGGAAGTCAGTGACAGATGATAGCTTTAAGGTTTCTTTTTTCTTTCTAAATTCCTCAGATGTAATTGGCAACTAGTTATCTGCACAATAGTAACCTAGTAACAATGATCAAAAGGAAGAGTAATCCCCTTCAACTAATAACGATTTTGCATTTTCAGCAATGGGAAGGGCTGCTCGAGCTCCTTGGTTCTGACATTGGTAGTGCGGGCGGTCTTGAGTTCCTTCACAGGTATTTCTTTGTCCATCAAATTTGTCTCTCTACATGACAATGTTGAATGTCAGCTTAGGATATTATTGTGCCAAGGTACCGGGATTTCAAGAAGTCTCTGCAACAAGCTCTAGACAGAAGGTGTGGTGCTCGGCAAACTGTGGATTTTTTAATACAGGTAAAGTTCTAACATATTAGTTGTGTTTTTTTTAACCATACATATCAACACTTCATGGGCCCCAACTGGGGAAGTGTCCTCCCTCCACCCCCTTTTTTTGTTTTTTTCACACTGTGTGTAAACTCTTTTTCCTATCTTAATTGAAAGGCAGAGCTCCTGCCATCTCTTTATAAAAAACCATATCAACACTTCAGGCCCCCAGACCTTGAGAAAAAAGAGGATCTGGAAATTCAGTTTGAAACTATCAGTACAGGATAGTCTATTGTCTCCAGTCTCCTGACCATATACATGTGTTTCTTTGCAGCTTATGAAAAACCCATCCACACCGCAACGTTTCTGGCTACCCCTTCTACATGACTCGGTAACTTATTATTTCTGTGTTGGCTTAGGAAGTTAGGATGCCAGTACCAGTTGTATCCAGACCACAGAACCAAATCTATTCCGTAACTCTGTCGCCACTTTGTCCAGGTGGAGCTACTTAATAGCAAACTCAGCCCTCTTATGAATGTTGCTGAGACGACATTGTTGCTCAACAAGCTGCAAGAGCTGTCAATGGCCAAGCTGCGCCCTGATTTTTCCAGTAATCACCTACCAAGCCATGCGATAAGCTCTGTGAGATTGGCTCTGGCATCAAATCTGGCACGTGCCATTCTTGGAGACCCGTAGTCCAAGCACACTTTAGCACAGGAGTATGACGTTCTAGTTTGCTGGTGGATTGTGACCATGTTTGCTTGGGGCCTCCTGGCAATTCAAATGGTCAGGTTTGAGAAAAGATTGATCGTAGGTCTGCTCTGGCAGAGCAGTAAAATAGATGTATCACATTGTACTCTTGCATTTGTGTTGCGAATGCATGCAGCATGCTGAGCGCTGTAGTTTGAACTTTGAAGGAAAGAAAGTATTGGCGTGTTGTTTGAAAACATCGGAGCAGCTTTTATGAGAAAAGAATATAACAAAATGGCCTGACCAGTCAATTGCTTTTCTCTGTTTGGAAACACTATAGCCCTTTTCGTTAATTCTCTGGAGCCTTCAGCGGTCCAGCCTTTATTTTGTGTAGAACAATGCAACTCATGTAAGGAGCATGTAACTAGCGTTCTGGATTTTTCAGTCCCAATGTCTGCCACAGTTAACCGATACGACGAGTGTCGGTGAGTTTCCATTGTCATGGCATGTTACGGTTTATTTCGACTGTCTTGCGTGGCCCTATTTTCTTTTAATCAAATCGAGAAACTTCAACCATAGGACGCGACGTGCGTTCTCTTCCTAAAGAAAAACATAGTTAGCGGCATGCGCACTATCGTTATTGTCCTAATAGTTTTTTTGAGTGTCCTAATAGCTAATAGGCCATGCGACATAAAAAATAGTGTAATTTTTTTTTCTAACGCATTAGGATAGAAACAAAATGGTTCCTATCTAAATTGTAAAAAGAAGCAAGAAGCATCATTACAAAGGAATAATTTTGGACGGAAATAAAAATATTATATAATCCCTGTCTATGCATTCATTTTAACAAGGGGCTTATTCTTTAATTAACATAGTTTACTGTCAATAAATAGGTGTACATGTGTAATCTTTATTGAGCACTAATCTTTCCTAAAAATCCTAAAACATCAAGATTGCTTGTATACCAATCTCCATTCTGTTTGAAGAAAAATACTCAAGATAGTGATGGCAACAATCATTGAGATTTGGCAACCATAAGAAAAATGAGTCTTTTACTTGTGAACCATTATAAAAGATCGAATCCTTTTGAGTCACTAAAAAAAGTTCAGCGACACTGCTCTAGCATTCTGTTCCTCTGCTGCCACTTTGTCCTCGCTGCGTGTACGGACGCTGCTCGGTGCTGCGCTCGTGTCCGAGCGGCTAGGACCCGATGAATGCCGGCTCAGGCTCTTCTCCCAGTCCAAAGTTCCTCCCGGGCCCCGGCCTTTTGTGGCTTCGTCCGCCCCAAAACTCTGCTTCTCAGCAGCAATGCCGGAGCCCCAGTCCTCTGTGGCCTCAAGCGGAAGCGTAGATCGCCTCCGGAACGCCTTCGGCGGAGTGCTGTGCACCTTCACCCTCCTTCTCATCGGCGTCCTCGCCTTCTCCATCCGACTATTCTCTGTAAGATCGACCCGAACCCCACCATTTTTAGATCCTTTTGGGAATTGGGGATTCAGTTTGCCCGGGCCCATGCCTGTCTTACTGGTCCGTTCATGTGCCGCAGGTGATCAAGTACGAAAGCGTCATCCACGAGTTCGATCCCTACTTCAATTACCGCGTCACCCAGGTTTTTTTTCCCCGTGGCGCTTCCATGTTTGTTCGCAGTCTGTTATTGACTTATTGGGATGCATCAGGAGCTGAGTTCGCTTAGGATCCAATGTTATGTTCTCTTCAACGAGTTATGGGGTTAGGGACTTCGGTAGGGATGCGACGAGCTCCATTTCTTTTGGGTCACTAGGTCGACCCAAAACTTGCTATGCAATTAATTTAGAAAATGGCATTGCCACTGTATTTAATTAATTAGCTGACCCAGAAAACACTGGGTACCACTTGCATCACTAGACTTCTTTGCAGATTGTCTGTTGTAATATATGGCTGTATAGTCTCAGGTGACATGTGGATGTATTGAATGATCCCAACATTTGGGTGAATAAATGGAAGATTTGGGTGAATAAATGGCAGGGATGTTCTCCAATGTACATTTGGTGCTTGGATTTGTGCACAAGTGCTTTACTAGTGTGTCTTAATGTTTCAGAAGCAGTTGTGCAATGCACTTAAATTTTGATTCATTGTAATTTCCCCCTTGTTTCAGTTCTTGTCAAAGAATGGCATATATGAATTCTGGAACTGGTTTGATGACCGAACATGGTTAGATTTCCAAGAACACTTGATTTTATCCTCGTTTTCCAGTTATTTCTATGCTCACTGTCACCTGCATTTAGGTATCCTCTTGGGCGTGTTATTGGCGGCACTGTCTATCCTGGTTTGACACTTACTGCTGGCACAATATGGTGGTAATGTGAAATATTGCACTGCCAATGCATACTATTAGAGGAATGCTTCATTGGGTCGATTTGGACTACTGTTAGCATGACTCAATTTGTTTGGTTGGCATAGGCTGCTGAATTCCCTTAACATCCCATTGTCGGTGGAGACCGTCTGCGTCTTCACTGCTCCAATTTTCTCAGTCAATGCGTCCTGGGCAACTTACCTATTAACCAAGGTTGTTTTCTTATTATTAAAAACCCATGTTCTTACACTGGATCACTGAAGTTCTTTAGTAATCTCACTATTGTGTCTCCAGGAAACAAAGGGCCCTGGGGCTGGTTTGATGGCAGCAACTATTCTAGCAATGGTAATTGTTATATTGACTATGTATTTTGTCTGAAAAATACTAGATCCTTGATATGTTTGCTTGGTTTATATTTTTTCTGCTCTTCTATTCTTTTGTGGGCGCATCAAGAATGAGGCAATTAGATAAGGATATGTTAGCTTTGTCAAGCCAAAGGGCGCCTAGCTCAAACGGTTAGGTGACCCAGCGGCACTCCTCAGGTCCTGGGTTCGACTCCCCGTGGGAGTGAATTTCAGGCTGAGGTTAAAAAAATCCCCTCGTCCGTCCCCATAATCAAAGCACTGGGGGGGCACCGGCCCAATTCTCACTTGGGCGACGGAAAGCCACCGTGTAAGGGTGGGGGCGGGGGTTCGGGGGTTTTCTCGGCCGGGTGAGAAGGTCCTTCTTCTTATTTGAAATGCTGCGGGGGCAGTCTTAACCCCCCCCCCCCCGGTCGAGTTTTTTGTTAGCTTTGTCAATATTGTCTGAGTCTTCGAGCGTAACAGCTGAAGTCTTGGCACTTTATTGTTTTAGTTGTTATGATCTGAACAACCCATTTTCATTGCAAATCCTTGTTTGCTTATGCTCAATGTGGTCTCTCCTTGAGCAGTTCTGCATTCACATTGGTATGATTGTTTTGTGGTTAAATTTGAAGGAACTAAAGAAAAAGGAACTATTATCGAACCACTTCTGAGCTTCTATGTTCGAAACGTTTGAGGAGCTGCTTTGCCCTTTGGTTTTTCTCATTCATCCAAAATAGTGTTGCCTATCATTGATAAGTAGATATATTCCCAACATGTAAAAGGCTCACTGTTCTGTTAATCAGAAAAACCAAAATGGTGAGCTGAGACCTGAAGGAAAACTAACTTCTGAGCTTTGTTCACTTTCACTGATTGGTGAACGATGAAAATTTCTTACTGGTGACAATCATGTTACGAATTGGGTTTCTATGTGCGGGATATTGGTTTCCTTCATTTAATATTATGTTTAACATCAGCCTTTTCCATATGAATGTAAAAAAACAAGGCTTCTAATAGGTTTTCACCTTTCTTAGATGTTTAGCAGTATACCCTGGATCCTATCTTGTAAATGTCACTTAATAAAGAACGTGCTCATTACTCCCTGCCAATATTCAGGTCCCATCATACATCTCAAGATCTGTCGCTGGCAGCTACGATAATGAAGCTGTAGCTATATTTGCTTTAATATTCACGTTTTATCTATATGTAAAGGTGAGAGTTTTTCCTTCTGTTGCTTTCTCTCTCAAGTATCTCTTTGCTACTTTAAACATGTATGAAATGATTTTGCAGACACTAAACACTGGATCACTCTTTTATGCGACACTTAATGCTCTCTCGTACTTCTACATGGTATTTTTGTTTCCTTTTTTTTATATATTTGTAGTAATTGGTATAGACCATGTATCCAAGATATGCTACTGTATTTCTCCTTTCAGGTTTGTTCTTGGGGAGGCTACACATTCATCATCAATCTTATCCCAATGCATGTTCTCTTGTGTATCGTGACTGGTCGTTACTCTTCACGACTTTATATTGCTTATGCTCCCCTTGTAAGTCCGTAGGTTTATTGTCATATCAAATCTTTTGTACAAGCGAATAGAAAATTTTTCATACCGGTAAACTCAATGCAGATTGTTCTTGGAACACTTCTGGCAGCATTGGTACCTGTTGTTGGTTTTAATGCAGTAATGACGTCAGAGCACTTTGCATCATTTCTGGTATGTCCATTGTGTGTCTACTAGGGATGCAAGTTGCACTTCTTTTGAGTCATTGGGTCAACCCAAAACTTGCTAAAATGGATAAGAATGACATGACACATTAATTTGGGAGAGAAATGAACTAAACTAGCTGACCTAGAAAGCACCATTTGGTACCCACTTGCAATCCTGACGTACCTACATGTTATCCTTTATTCCCTCCGTCCCAAAATAAGTGATGTTTTAGGTTTGTCCTAAGTCAAACCATTTTAAGTTTGATCAAATTTATAGGAAAGAACATTAATATTTAGGACACCAAACATGTAAAATATAAAATTATATTTCATGACAAATACAAAAATACTTTTTTGGTATCATAAACATTAGTATTTTTTTGTATAAATTTGGTCAAACTAGAAATGGTTTGATTTAGGACAAACCTGAAACATCACTTATTTTGGGACAGAGGGAGTATTTCCTAGTTTTTCCCATTTCAGTAAAACCTTGGCTGCAAGCTAATGCATCTCCCCCTATCCTCTCTGTTATTTCAAAAACAGGTGTTTATAATCCTCCATGTGGTTGCTCTGGTTTATTACATCAAAGGACTTTTAACTCCTCGACTGTTCAAAGTGGCCATGACATTTGTTATTACAGTTGGATTGTAAGTTTCTGATTTTGGAAGTTGGAACTAGTTGAAATGCATAATAAATGTTATCTCTTAATGGTTCATAATTTTGAGCAAAGACAGATTTGTTCCTCAGGAGTAAAAAAGAAGCAGTTGTTCATGTTTAGGTCACTGAACTGCTAGCTATCCACTTGACACATCTAACAGCAAAAATCCTGCAGGGCTGTTTGTTTTGCTGCTGCAGCAATACTCGTTGCATTGATTGCATCTAGCCCAACAAAAGGCTGGAGTGGTCGCAGTTTGAGTCTGCTGGATCCGTAAGTTCTTATCAAGTTGAGATTGTTAGTTGAACTGTTGAGCTCTTGATGTTCTGTGCAAAGTAAGATGTTATATTTGGTCTCTAGGAACACAAACTTTTAAGATTTAATGTAGTTAGATCTGATACTTACTATAAGAGAGTATATTTGTTGTCAAATGGACCTCTGTTGTGTTTTTCCTAGTTGCTGCTAAACCTGTTATCAACTTTTGTTATACAATCAATCCATATTTCTTCTTTTTCTGTATAAGTTGACACATTGACTGTTTGTCCTTCACCTTTTCCTTTTGCTCCTGATAGAACCTATGCAAGCAAGTACATCCCTATAATTGCTAGTGTGAGCGAACACCAACCACCAACCTGGCCTTCTTATTTTATGGATATCAATGTGCTGGCCTTCTTAGTTCCTGCTGGGATCATAGTAAGTATTCCATTTCTTTTAGTTGAACAAGCAGTTTAGTTGGTTAATTTTACCATGTTTTTGACTTTTGACTGATTGGCGTAAACTCAATTTTCAGTCATGCTTCTTACCGTTATCTGATGCAAGCTCATTTTTGGTCCTGTACTTGGTAACCTCAGTGTATTTCTCTGGAGTAATGGTAAAGCCCTTTAGCATGGAACATTTGCAAACTGCAGTACAATGCTGGTCTTTTTATCAATCGATATGTTATTGCAATGATAGGTCCGACTTATGCTGGTCCTTGCTCCTGCTGCATGCATTTTGTCTGGGATTGCTCTGTCTGAAGCTTTTGGTGTCCTTACAAGATCAATGAAATTTCAGCGTCCAACACTGGATGATGTATCTTCCACAGTATGACTGCTTTCTTCGTGTCTTTTTTCCTATTTATTCCATTGGGTTATCCACTCACATGATATTTCATCAAATTCAAGGCAGGGGATGGGAGTTCTGATACTCCTACCAATTCAGAAATGGTTTCGAAGGAAAAACCATCCAAGAAAAATCGGAAGAAAGACAGAGACTCAGAGGGAAGTTCACCTGTTGATCATAGAACTGAAGAAAAGCTTTTAGTACTGCCTTGTGGGCCATCTGCTGTGGGCATAATGCTACTGATCATACTTTCTGGTTTTTACGTGGTAAGGGAACTGTTCTTTCTGCAAACTACATTCCCGTTAGATTACATGAACATCGCTAGTAAATTATGCCATTTTTGCAGGTCCATTGTGTGTGGGCTGCTGCAGAAGCATATTCAGCACCTTCAATTGTGCTAACATCTCGTTCACATGATGGGTTTCATGTTTTTGATGATTTCCGTGAAGCTTATGGATGGCTGCGCCATAACACAGATGTAGATGATAAGGTATACCTTGCTTCTTACTATTACACTATCTGTGTTTATTCTGACAGCTATATGATATTTATTTTGGCAGGTTGCATCTTGGTGGGACTATGGTTATCAGACAACTGCAATGGCAAACAAAACTGTTATTGTGGACAATAATACATGGAATAACACACACATAGCAACAGTTGGGACTGCAATGGCATCCCCAGAAAAAGCAGCATGGGAGATCTTCAATTCCTTAGATGTCAAATATGTGCTCGTTATCTTTGGAGGTTGTTACATTTTTGGCTTCTAGAAGCAAACAATTGCCTTAAACAAGTGCTGCCATTCACCTAAACCTGATGATTCTTTTTTCAGGGCTTATTGGCTACCCAAGTGATGATATTAATAAGTTCCTCTGGATGGTTCGAATCGGAGGTAGTGTGTTCCCTCAAATAAAGGAAGCAGATTACCTTGTAAGTTGTGGACTTGCCTCTTGTATTTCCTTGCCAATAACAGGAATGTGATCTGCATTTATTAATTGAGAGGTCTGGACAATACTACTGTCCCTCAAAGAGTGACATTTTGGTTGTCTTAAGTCAAAGCATTTTATGTTTGACCAAGTTTATATAGAAGATTATCAATGTTTGTGGCACCAAATAGATACTATGAAAATATATTTCATGATGAATCTGATGATGCCATGACCGGCATCACGTATCAGCGGCGCAAGCGCAAGTGTGGCTGAATGTCGAGCCGCTGCGCGGGCGCCGCACAAGGCTTTGGTTGCTCCGGTTTCTTGAGATTAGTTGTTGACTTGTTTCCCAATTGTTAGGAGATTTGGTTGCTGCATCTTAGCTCAAGTCTGTTAGGCTTTGGGGTATATAAGTACCCGGAGTATTCGTTTGATAAGAATCAAGCAAGGCTGCATGTCCCTCACTCGCTCGCAAGCACAGCTCCGACACATGCGAAGTGTTAAGCCCCAACCACCGATCACCCATTGCTAACACCTGTGCTATATGCTATACCATGGCTCCTATCAAATGATATTCATTTGGCACATAATTTTTTGTATAAACTTAGGGTTGTTTGACTGCTAACACCTGTGCTATCTGCTATACCATGGCTCCTATCAAATGATATTCATTTGGCACATAATTTTTTGTATAAACTTAGTCAAACTTAGGGTTGTTTGACTTAGGACAAAAACAAAATGACTTTCTTTGTGGGCCCGCAGGTACTATCTTCTATTTCCTCCGTTCTAAATTATAAGACGTTTTGCCTTTTCCAGATACATAGCTTTTATTATGCACTTAGATATACACTATGTTTAGATACATAGTAAAATTAATGTATCTACAAAAGCCAAAACGTCTTATAATTTGGAATGGAGGGAGTAGTTGCTAGCCTTTTTTTGGTGTGTGTGTCTGTTGGTTGTGGGTGGGTGGGTTACATCTTGAGATGAAAAGGCTCTGTCAAAAATTTGGTGTTTCGTTTTGTGTATCTTATTTCTCTAGAAGGATGGCAACTACCGTGTTGATACTCATGGCACCTCAACCATGTTGAATTCCCTCATGTACAAGCTTTGCTATTACAGGTCTGTGACACATCGAAGTTATGATACTGCGCTCAATTGACACATTTGTGAATGAAGTGTAACCTTGTTTTCCAATGTTCGCAGATTCGTCGAAACTGATGGTAAGGGCTTTGATAGAGTGAGGAGATATGAAATAGGGAAGAAGCATTTTAAACTTACGCATTTTGAGGAGGTGGAGTGCTTTTATTCTTTTTCTTTTCCAATTTGGACGTGAAAAATCCCCTATTGCTTGAATAATGCATTCCTTGTGTTTCCATGCTTCTGAATGCAGGTTTTCACAACCCACCATTGGATGGTTCGGATTTACAAACTGAAACCTCAGAAGAACAGAGTCAGAGGGAAACTGAAATTTAAACCTGTGAGTCAGACAACACAATTTGCTTGGATATAAGCATATTGAAACATCTGCATCTTAAACCTTTTTTTACCTCACTTCTTTACCAGAGTTCAAAAACAAGTTCTATGCGGAAAACTGGTGGAAAGAAGAGCCCATGGCAATAGAGATCACAAAGGCAGGGATGCTGGAGTCACTAGTCATCCTGAGAAAACCACAAATTCACAAAAATGAGTTAGATTAAAAGTATAGCATAGCATCGGTGTGTTCTTTGTTATTGTCATGGAGCAGATTATAGGGGTGCTTCATGGTTTTCGGCATTTGATCTTCGTAATGACATTTCTGCAGCTAGGGAGTCTGATGAAATTTGTGACAGGTTGAGGCTATATCCCATTTAAACAAGATAGACTTTGTTTGCAGGAACCTGACTGAGCGCCTGGCTGTTTGGAAATAGGAGTGCCAAATTATATCTAGTTACCTTACCGACATCTTTAAAGGCTGTTTGGTTTGAAGAATATGGTGGCCTATTTTGGAATGCAGGATTTTTTTATTCCCTGTATTTTTCTGTAAAAATGAATTGATTCCTGTGAAATTTCTATTTTATTCCTATGGAATTTCTGGGTTCCAAGGGGCCTTTGCTTGGCTTTGCGAAATGGAATTAATGGCTACAGTGACATGAACAGTGTAACAACAAGTGAAGCTGAAGCCATATGAAGCTCTGTAGTTTCGTCTGATGATCTCTTGTTTTACTTTGGGTCCAAGAATCAGTAACCAAGGTATATAGGACCAAAAGTTTATCATATATATGTACCATCCTATGGTCTGAGTCCATGCATTTACGAGATAGACTGTATATCCTCTTCAATTTATTTTAGCTTTGCGACTGCCAAGAATCATATATTGGAATAAATATTGTACTCTTACTTTGCTAGAAGCATGTTGCAAGTATTGCCCCTTAGTTTATACTAGTATTATTTTGCCAGATCACATAAACCTACCATACAAACCATTGAATATATGACACATTGGTTCCTCAGATGAGCCTTGCCTTGCCCAATCAGAAACTGAAGAAAGAAACGAGTTTGCTTTCCTTATCCTGCTGATTCGATTCCTTTGCAACTGGGGTTTTCCTTTCTGAAGTGAGCGAGCAAGACCAGCTCCCCATGACAGGTAAGATTAGGCTCGCCTGACCAAGTGAGGAGAGGAACATGCTCCACGTCTAAACATGTTTCGATGCCCGTAATAAAGCATAATAATCGTTGGTCCGTGAGATATTAGGATACGTTTTTTCTATAAGCTCGGGAGGGAGCAACTCTCCCCACTTTTGATTGATTAATCAGGAGCGATAAATAATTCTTGTTCAGTTACAACAAATTCGGGAGGGATGCAAATTTTGCTAGGGCCCGTTTGGATCTTTGAAATTAAATTCATTCAAACAATTATAATTTAGGCACTAATTAATTAAGCTAATATGGTTCTATATGAAATATATTTGTATATTATTGTTAGCCATATAAGGGAGATACTTATATGTTGTATTTGTACAATAGGGAATAGGGAAACGAGTTAAAGAGTGTGCTATAAGTTGGAGAGTAGAAACATAGCATAATGATTTATAGAATTAATTTACATCTCTCATCCTAAGAATTTGAGATATATGTGAACTTAGGAAAGTTATAGAATGTCAAAAATTTCAACTCAAATATCCATTAACTAGATTTCAATTCCTCCAAAATGAAAGGATCAAAACGTCCCCTAAGCATATTTGTAGGTTTACACTGCAGTTTTTGAAATCAAGCACATTGATTGGGTTACACTGCAAATTTGCAAAAAATTTTGCAATATACATTTTAGGGTGCGTTTGGTTTACGTGGCAGTCTTGTCTTGCCCTACCAGCCTGGAATCCAACAAGGGCTGAGCGAGCCGAACTAGGGGCGTGCTTGGAACCTTCACCAGGTTTGCCTTGCCTCACCTGTAGTGGATGGCACAAACCACGAGACACTTGCCTAGCCAATTTGGCTCTCTTGAAGTAGCCAGAAAAATCTCGTTAGTGTAGAAATCAAGATAAGCAAAGTGCAAGATCCAGACAATTTGGTCAGATCAATTTCTAACAGTGCCTAACAAAAATACCAAGCACACCCTAGCTCTCTGGTTCTAGCAAGAATTTTGTTCACCAGGTAAGGCGAGGTGAGGTAGAGTGGAGGATCCAAATATGCCATTAAGAGTTCGGTTTGTGGAATGAAGTGATCCATCATTATCTCACTCTCTAATGTTTTGTTTAGTTTTGAAATAAAATAAATTGATCCATCATCGTATCATTTCTCACAAACTAATAATGATTAGTATTAGTATGAAACAAAATCATTTCATTAAATTTAAGAATAAATTCATAATGATTGACCCTATCTACAATGGGTTCCATTGTTCCAACCAAACAATACATATATGTACACTATCCATTTGAATGGTAGCTGTCGAACGTTTGAAGACACGAGTCTTCATCCGAGGCATCATTTCGTACCATCAGGCAGTGGCGGTCCTCGGATTCTGAGAGCCCTCCGCCGATCTCGTCATAACGGCCCCTCTTGATCATGTATAAAATCTTATAATATATAGGCACTAATTTTACTTTCAAAACGAAAATAAATTCAATAACATATTTTTAATTTAACATGTCTGATAATTATCGAGGAACAATATAGATTAAGCAATATATTTATAGATATATGATAATTATTAAGAAACAATGTAGATTAAAAAAGCAATATATTCGTTTTCTTTTCTTACCCATGACAAATATTTCTTATGTAACATTCTAAAATTCTAACACCTAAATTAGAAGAAAATATGACTATATGGGTATAAAGTACTAGACGTCTAAATACTATACAAATAATTAATTTGGATTAAAAATAAAAAGGAAAAAAATACTTTAGGCCTAACAACTGATCGGTGATCGCAATTCGTAAGAAGTCAAGAATTAAGATGCGGTCGTCGTGGAGCCCTGCCTGGTCGCCGTCCTCGTGCGCCGTTTCCGTGTCTCCGGTAGTCTAGCTCTTCGCGGCGGCGTAGCTCGCCAGCTCCGCATGTGTAAGGCGCACGTCGCGAACTCACGATCAGAGTGTGCTGTATGCAGCGTGACTCCTCGCCTCCTCTCTATCCGAGGACCATGGGAAAAGGAAACTAGAAAAGAAATACCGATGTTATCTTTTTAGCCACCTAGCTAGTTCTATGTCTTTTTTCTGGTTAGTTTGCTAATGTTTAATAGACTATATGACCTAAGAGTTTGTATATCTGGGCTTTGGCACCTCCTTGCCTTGGGCCCTCGACCGTCGCACCTGGTGCCCTACCCCTAGGGCCGGCACTGCATCTTGGCCATCCATGCATATAGTCCATTCCTGAGCTACTCCCTCCATCCAAAAAAAACGTAATTCTAGCTTTTGAACTTGAACTTGTAGTGTGGCTGACATCAGATATGGTGCTCTCCAAGAGATTGATACTGCCATTGCCAAGCTAGAGGGTGAGACTGGAGAGAACTTGATGCTGAGACTATTGGCCCAGAGCAGATAGCTGAGGTACGTTTGTTAGAGGCGAAAATTTGTTGCATTGCCTTTCACTTCAAGTACGAGTATGTGCAGTACGTACTACACTAAGTACTATGGCCTTGTTTAGTTCGTGATTTTTAGGATTTTATGTTACTGTAGCACTTTCGTTTTTATTTGGTAATTAATATTCAATTATGGACTAATTAGGCTCAAAACGTTCGTCTCGCGATTTCTAACAAAACTGTATAATTAGGTTTTTTTTCATCTACATTTAATGCTCTATATACGTATCACAAGATTCGATGTGATGACTACTGTAGCACTTTTTTAAAAAGTTTTTGAGAACTAAACAAGGCCCGTATTGAAAACGATGTTGTCGTTGTGCACAGGTGGTGAGCCGCTGGACTGGCATTCCAGTGACTAGGCTTGGACAGAATGATAAGAAAAGGCTGGTTGGACTGGCCGATAGGCTTCATCCAAGGGTCATTGGACAGCATGAAGCCGTCAATGCTGTTGCATAGGCTGTTCTGAGGTCCAGGGCTGGTCTTGGGCGGCCACAGCAGCCTACTGGCTCATTCCTCTTCTTGGGAGATTTTTTTATTATTTTTAACATATTTTTAAACTAATTTTAAAATTAACACTGTTTATTTTTTTCTTCAAATCTAACACTTTTGACCGCGTCTATTCACACGGCGCAGCGAATTAACGCTGCCGCGCCATGCATGGGGCCACGGCGAGGCTGCCCACGTGGCAGCGACCAGGGCCGCTGACCGGTGACGTGGCCGGCTCTGCCGCGCCGCCGATCAGGGTGCGGCGGTGACGCGCCACGCATCATGGCGCGGCAGTCGTTTTAATGTAAGTAATTATTTCTACTATCTTTTTTTCTTCATTTGTGTAAGTAGGCTACTAATATTTTATTGGAATCTTGTTGTGTAGGACCATGAGAGGTGTTTTTTCTTTTAGTGGATCGACGGTGCAGAAAAGTTTGACCCTAGGTACCTCATTTTCGACGATTGGTGTAGAGGAAGACATCCACGTGAGCACTTCCAGCGGTGGGTTCCACCCCCCTACCCCCGCCAATGACGGCTAAGGAGAAGCACCTAGCCGTAGTTAGACGACTCGAGGAACCTCTTCTGTGTGAATGTGGAGATCGAGCTATGATAAACCCGAGGAATACGTTGGAGTTTGTGTGTCCGAACAAACATGAAGTAAGTGAAAAGTGTATCTGTTTAAATGTTTATCTCTATATGTGTGCGTGTACTAATGTATTCTCTTGTAGCGCTATGGATTTGCGAAGTGTCGTTTCAATGAGTGACTCTACAGTCCTAAGAATCAATGGCCGGAGCCACAAAGGCAAAGGAAAAGAAGAAAGAAAGGTTAATTTACAAAGCACCTCTAGTCAAGTGCGAATGTTGTGTTAAATCCAACTACGGTCTAGTCCCTTCAGAGCTTGGAATAGGCCATTATTACGACCATATTGTTGACTATGATGAGGTTGATTATTTTTGTGGTCAACATGAAATCTTATTTTGTTTCTTTTGCTAAGACATATATGATATAATTTTTCGTTTGAACAGAGCACTAGGAAATGCAGGTGGAAATGTTATGATGGTCAAGCTAAG